GAAGAAGTTGCAGCCTCAAAGGAGAATGGTGTTGTTTTATAATAGCTTCTGGGTAGAAAGGAAGGCAAGCCCATTGGAAGGATTAAAATGGCCTTGTTGGTGAAGATGATGCCATGCAATTTCAGAAAGTCATGTCCGCGTCCTTACTGAGGGCCTACTGTGTGCCAAGCAGTGTTTCATGTGCATGAGACAGGGCAGTAGCAAAGGTGAGCCAAGCCCCTGCCTGTGCTGGATGGAAGGCTGATTAGGTGCCAAGAAGTAAAGTAGACAAGATGTCAGAAGAAGATAAACTTTATGAAAAAGAAGTGGAACAGGGGGCTAGAGAATGTCCCAGAGTTGAGGGGAGGGCATTTTAGTCTTAAACAGGGGTCAGGGAAACTCCTGAGCAGTTGACATATTGAGCAGCTGGAAGATTGGAGCTCCTGTAAGCTGTGATGAGTCAGGAAGGGTGTGCAGGAGACTGGGTGGTTCCATTTTTCTTCGGTGTGAAAATCATGAGCCTTTTGACTATTTTCATTTAGACATTGTATATCTGAGTAGGAACATGAGTCTGGACTTCACAGGCAGGCCTGGTGCTGGGGATGTGAATTTGTAGGCTTCAGTGTCTGGGTGATTTTAAAGCATGAGCTAGGTCAGTTTGCAGAGGATCTGGTGCAGATTGAGAGGAGAATCTGTCCGAGGCCTGTGCCCTGGGTGCTCTGCAGAGGCTGGGGTGTGGAGGAAGAGGCTGCTGAGGGAGGAACTAAAATGAGGGGAGTGTGTTGTCCTGGAAGCAAGGGAAGTGGCGTCTTTATGAGAAGAGAGGGCAACTGACTGTGACGGGCGCTGCTGGGGCTGGCCACCACGATTTCACTGGGAAGGGCAGGGTGTGGAGCCATCTCAGTGGAGTGGTCAGGCTAGCCAGACTGCTATGGACTCAAGACAGAGTGAAAGGAGAAACTGAAGACCGCATGATAGAGCTTTTTGGAGGAGTTTTGCTTTAAGGGAAGCATATCAATAGGGTGTTATTTGGAAGGGAATATGAGGATCATGGTTTCTTTTTTTAAGACGGGAGATACTCAAGACAGAGTGAAAGGAGAAACTGAAGACCGCATGATAGAGCTTTTTGGAGGAGTTTTTCTTTAAGGGAAGCATATCAATAGGGTGTTATTTGGAAGGGAATATGAGGATCATGGTTTCTTTTTTTAAGACGGGAGACGTTTCAGCATTGCTGGGAGAAGTCCAGGAGAGAAGGGGAATCTGCTGAGGCAGGGAAGGGAGAGGACAACTGATGGAGTTGTCTCTGACACGGTGAAGAGAGGGCACAAAGAGGGTGCACCCCATCAGGAGCACAGACAGGCTATCCGTGGACAGGTGGAGAGTGGAGTCCATGCAGGTGCAGGTCAATCCATGTGGCTAGGGAACAAGTTCTTTCTGGTCACTTCTATTCCAGCACCATAGGAAGCTCCTCCATCAGGAGGTGGAGAGGGTGAGGGGAGATTATGTAGTATGGTCATGGCGTGGAGGTGAGTGCACTGTGGAGGTGCTCTGGGTTGTCTGACAGCATGAGGTTCTGCTGGGAGGAGTGGTCATGAGTTGAGTGTGAGACCAACCAGCCAGTGTGGATTCAGTCCTGCAGCTGCGAATGTGGAGCAGGCAGAGCATGGGGACTGTCCAGTGATATGTTGAAAGGGGTTGATAGAAGTTCTGAGAGCACAATGATAATAATGCCTGTGAAGACTGAACTGGGTAAGGTAAGAGTAAGAAGAACATGCAGGGTGTGGATACAGTGAGTTGGGGTAGGACCAACTGCTGGTGGCTTGGGAAGAGGTTGGTCAAACACTTCTGGAGTTGGGCTACTAGAGGTGGCAAGCTGGAACAGTAAGGATGATGCATGCTTAGAACTGAGTTAATGGAGAGAGGCAGTTTATAATTTCGAGATTTAGAGATGACCATGGGGATTGGTGGTTTAGGTGGGTGGAGGACACACTCTTGGAGAGGAGGGGTTCAGGGAATGGGAGGTAGAGGCATTGAAGCTTGGCAGGCACTGAAATAAACAGGAATGGGGACCAGGAAATAAGCCTTCTGAGGGTGGGGGTGGGGGGACAGTGCTGCAGGGTGCCTGCCTGGGGCGTGGGCAGTCACATTAGGGCTGGAGCATAAGGGTGGTCTGGAAGCTGCAGTGAAGAGCAAGAATGTCCCTTCCTGGGCTTTCAGGCCCACTGGCAAGAGGGGAGGAAAGAGATGACAGTGCTGTGCAAGGTCACGGCTGGGGTGTCCTCCCAAGAGGAAACAGGACGGCAAAGGGAGTGTTCATAGAAGTGACTGAAGCAGCTCCAGCAATATGCAACTGATTGTCTTCTTGTGATTCTAAGAAAAACTAAGTGAGGGAGGCCTGTTTTGTGGTCAGCTTTTTAAAGTTCCTGTATTTACTTATTAAGAATCAGGTTGGTGTGACTCAGATTGTCAGTCTCAGGCATCTAAACTGGAAGACTTTTGTGTTTTTGCACTGACTGGCAAGGCTCATGATTGCCCATCTCCCTTTGGTGAAGGAAGGGGTGGCAGTTTTCTGACCTCCTGGAGCAGAGAAAAAGGCAACGTATTTTGGCTCATAGTCTGGTTTGTAAAGAAGGCACTGGAGAGTCATGCTTCTAGAGAGCTAAGAAAATCTCTTATCTCATCTAGTAATGCCTAGAAAACAGTTTTGCATTAAACATTTGATTTGTTGAAGTGAACTTATCAAAATGCTGAAAATGCAGATGTCCTGATAATGCTCTCATTAAAAGATCATCTTTTGACACAAAGGGACAACGGGCCTGGCTAAGGGGGAAAAAAAGTGGGTGTAAGGAATAGACTTTCATTATCTAGCATGAATAGAGCAGCGATTAAAATATATATATATATTTTTTTAAACTTGATAAGGACTAGCTAGTGGAAGGATCAAGGGAAGAGGTCGTTGGCATTTTAAGGCTGGAGTACATTAGCCCTTTTCCTTAGGTTTGCTCCATGGTAAACGTTACTCAATCTCTTTGGACTTTTTTATTTTCATTTTTTAAAATTCATGGCACTGTTTAAAGGTATAACTAATAAAAGGCAATACAAAATTGTTTAGATATTTAAGTGTGTTGTTAATAATAAAGCCATAAGTCCCCAGTCTTATGATCAAATTATATTTCATGGTGTCTACATGTGCCAGAAAACAAAACTTGAAAATATTATGCCACGTCCATTTTAATTATTTTCTTTACCTTGTTGTATAGTGTATTAAAAATACTTTAATGAGTTATTTTGATTGGAAGTAAGTTGAAATATTTTTGAATCTTTATTCTTTTTCACTTCTCCATATCGATTTTATAGAAATGTTTAACTGTGTTGAATTGATGCCAGTAATCTTTTGAGACAGTTACCAGTCTGTTAATTTCACAAGAAAGATAACTAGGATATCTTGCTCAGTGAATTCATTATATTTTTATTCTGTTGGTGTTTTGGCCTTTATCTGTGGATTACTTGGCTGGCTACATTAAAAAGAGTTAATTTGGATGTAGATGGCAGGGCCTTCTTAAACTTCCTATGTGACTTTTTTTTGTTTTTCCCAATTTGGTATAGGTCTTTACTAGAAATAGGACTGTTGATTACAGGTCATGGAGTTTCTGTTCTTAAGTTTGAATGTGGGAAGTCTGTGGGCAGAATTGTAGCAGGGGCAGCAGATGACTTGCATGGCAGTGGCAGAGCCCCTAATGCCAGAGCTCAGCTGGAGACGCAGGTTTTACCTGAGGGCTTCAGGTACTTCCACTACAGAGAGCTCCTGCGTTCATGTTAACTCTTGCTTTTACCTTCATCCTATAATTCCTACAGTTTCCTTGTGGAGTTCTAGGCTTGACTTTACCCAGATAGTACTTTCAGATTCTATTTTGTCTTCTTTTTTCCTCTGTGAAGTCATAATATTGAAAACCAACATTTAGCAAAGAATTGTCTAGATAACTGCAAAAAATACAGTGTTTTGCCTTTTTTGTGTGTTTATTATATTATAAATATCATTTAAAATAGTACTCTTTAAGAGGTACTTTCTTTCTACTTCAAAGAGATATTATTTAAATAAAACTAGATAATGTAATGATTAATGAACTGGTACATAATCTTATGAGATAATACATTGATAAATTATGTAGCACATGGCCGTAGTGGTGAGTAACAACTGATCTTGATTTCTCTTGAGAGAGATTATAGATGGGTTAGGAGGTGCTGACTTCTCTCTCTATATATATATTTATATTTATAATTTTATATTTTTATATATTTATAAATATATACATATATCAATGAATATATTCATTAATAGGTAAGGGCTCTTATGAAATGCCTGTATGTCCCTTGTTATGAATTGTCTTCCGGCCATGCACGTGGGTTTTCTTTTTTTGTAATGTTAGTATTCTTGCTGTCTGTCTGTGATTGATACCCAATTATCTCTGGATTTCAAGTAAGGGACCCCTACCCAAATGCTCTCATTTGAGTGTTCTACCTATAAATAGTTTGACAAAGTTTTGCTTGGCTGGAACTTTGAACCCACTATCCATTTATCTGTTTGCCCCCATCTGCTCAGTCCACTGTTAACCCCTTCCCTCAATCTCCCACCCACCATGCCATGGCTCATAGCTATCTTTGTGTCCCTGGTACCTATCAAAGTGCTAGGTGCCGGCATGTAGCAGGCCACAGGTAAATGAACAGGAAATGAATAAGTGAACTAATAAAGGGATTAAACATATTCAGCTATCATATTTCTAAGAATATGATGTTCTTAGGCAGCAATATTAGCCAATATTTGTAAGAATCATAAAACCAAGATACCAAAAAAACTAAAAGCTTACCTAGGAGGATATGGAGAAGGAGAATATAATATCAAAAATATGTTAAAATTTTCATTTTTTATCTATTTGTCTTGTTGGGGGTATAAAATATAAATGTTCCAACTATTCAGAAGCTTTTCTTTTAACTAAACTTTTTACATTATAATTCATAAACAGAGGCGGGCTAGCTGAAAGACTAAACGGACTGCAGAATCGAGAGAGATCTGCCATTTCTTTGTGGAGACATCATTATGTTTCTTATCAGAGGACACTTTCAGGTAAGGCTTGCACAGGCATCTGAGATGGTGGGTAAAAAACATTGTAGTTGGGCCGGCCCGGTGGCGCACTGCTATAGTGCGCCACTTGGGAAGCGCGGTGGCGCTCCCGTCGAGGGTTCGGATCCCACATGCAGACCGGTTCCCGCTCACTGGCTGAGCGAGGCGTGGGAGCAACGCTGAGGGCTGCGATCCTGTTGCCGGTCCCGGTCCGGTACGGGGGCGACACTGAGGGTTGCGATCCGTTGCCGGACACGGAAAAAAGACAAAAAAAAAAAAACATTGTAGTTAAAAGTATTTTTACATTAAAATTATGAAGTTAATTACTGCTATTTTCAAGACTTTTTTAAAAATTAATTTTCCCCCATCATTCTTTTTATTTAATTTTTTGAGACGAAAAGCTGCATAATTAATGTGTACAACTTGATGAGTTTTGAAAGTAAGTATACACCCATGAAACCATCACTACAGTCTGTGCCATGAACTTACTCATAACCTCCAAAAGTTCCATTCTGCTTACTTATCTATCATTATTATTTTTTGTGTTTGATAAGAACACTTAACATGAGATCTACCCTCTTAGCAAAATTTAAAGTATACAATACAGTGTGCTTAACTATAGGCAGTATGCTGTACAGTAGACCTCTATGACTTGTTTATCTTGTATAAGCAAACTTTGTGTCCTTTGACTAATACCTCTCTCTTTCCCTTTTCCCCTGGCCCCCAGCAGTCACCATTCTACTCTCTGCTTCTGTAGCCAAAGCATTTATTCAAGAAGAAGAAGTAAAAGGCATCCAAATTGGAAAAAAGGAAGTCAAATTGTCTCTGTTTGCAAATAATATGATCTTGTATCTAGAAAACCCTAAAGACTCCCCACATATGCAAAATGTTAGCACCAATAAACTAATTCAGCAAAGTTGCAGGATTCAGTCAATGTGCAAAAATCAGTTGCATTTCTATATGCTAACAATGAGATATCTGAAAAGGAAATTAAGAAAGCAATCCCATTTATAATAGGATCAAAAAGAATAAAATACTTTGCAATAAACTTAATCATGGATGTGAAAACTTGTACTCCAAAAACTGACTTTTTTTCTTCTTCTTCAGGTGTCTTAAAGGTCTCAGAAATTGTTCTAAGAGATGAGCCTGTTCTTACAAGGTCATTAGATCCCTCCTGAGAGTTTCTCTTAGTTCACAGAAGACTTATTGTTGAAAGGTCTGACTTAGAGTGTTCTATATTAGACCTTTTTCTTGCTAAATCTAAGCAGTGGCTTTCAAACTTTTACGACTGCTACCCATCCAACACAGACATGCATGCGCGCGCACATAAACACACCCCTCTGAGACAAACATTTTACGAACACTAACCTTAGTATGTGTGTGATACAATCTGATATATTCTTTTATTTTTACCATAATCCTGGTCTCACGAAATTGATTTTAGGAGTCCTCTAATGAGTTGCAACACAAACTTTGAAAGCTGCTACTACAAGCAAGTGACTGAAAGGTCTTGTTTCTTAACAAATTGTTTGGTATAAAAATTATTCCACATATCTAGAAAAGCTCCCTTTCCTCTGAAACAATGCTTTTTTCAAGGTTTCTTCCTGTGTGGTCTCTTAATCTGGAGTGGGGGAGGCATGTTCACTTATTCCAAATCTACTATTAATAGTCTCGGGGGAGGGGGGGTCCTTGGAATATGCGTTTTAATAAGCTCCCAGATGATTTTTGCACATGCTGGAGTTTGAGAAACACTGCTCATAGAGTTGATTCCCCCCTTGCCTCCGTCCACTCTGAGTAATATATTCTACCAGATAGAACACTCAACAATTATGTCCTCAACTATTACACATTTCTTCAGAAGACCTTTCAATTCTTATCTCATTTATTGCTTTTAAAATCCTTTCCTACCTGTGTCTTAGAAGTTGTCTTCTTTTGTTCACATTCTTGTATTAGAGTATTATAATTTGAAGTATGTGTATCAGGATGGCTTGATGCATAATGACCCAAGAGTACTCCTCCTTTAATAGAATTCTGTGGGTCAGCCCATTGTTATAACTTTGTTCCTTGCTATTTTTTTGTATCAAGGATTATGATATTAAATGATCGTCTTTATTTTTTTTATTTTTATTTTTCCTTTTTGTCTTTTTTCGTGACCGGCAATGGATCACAACCCTCAGTGTCGCGCCTGTACCGGACCGGGACCGGCAACAGGATCGCAACCCTCGGTGTTGCGCCCGTACCTCGCTCAGCCAGTGAGCGGCCGGTCTGTATGTGGGATCCGAACCCTCGGCGGGAGCGCCGCTGCGCTCTCAAGTGGTGCACTGTAGCAGTGCGCCACCGGGCCGGCCCTAAATGATCGTCTTTATAACTTATTTGATCAGTCAGAAATCCAGGCATACGTAAATAATGTTCCCTCATATTATTCAGGGAAGTCTTTATAACATACTGGCTTTGGCACAAAAAAGAATTTAGTGGTACTCATAATTAAAAGCCACAGGGAAAAGACTTCATATGTAAGGCATATTGGTTTTGAAAAGGCTGGCAGACATTCTCCATGTGGTAACTCCCAGCTTCAAATCCAATAAAAAGAATGCTTGCTTTTCCATTCTCTTAGAAATACCTGAAACAGCCTTCACTGGTCTGGCTGGGGCAGGAGTCCCACCTTGAACTAATTCCAATCACTTTGGCCAGGGTGGAACTCAGTTGATAGTACTCTACCAGCCATATGTTTCACTTGTGACTTTTTTATTTTCATACTTATTTAATAAAAATCAGCAAGAACAATTTGTGATTCTACAATACATTTTCTCATTTTAATCTTTTAGTGATCCTTCATGTTCTGCTATTTATAAATAGTTGCATGTGCATATTTAACCTCTCAAATGCAAATAATCTTGAACTGGAGTGATTACTTTTGCCCATAATCTACCCACCTCCACCTCTAAATAGTTTCCATTTAATCTTTGTGTCACTCAGTCATTTTGAATTTAGTTTGGGGTTCTGTGCATTATAATTTTCTTTCGTTCTGCCTGAACCAGAAAAATATGGCCTTGCCACTTAAATTCTCAAACATGTTCCTTCTTCCTGTTTTGCTTTTGCCTCCCTTCTTTTGAAGTAATTACACAAGTAAATGGTGAGCTTAGATTTCTTTGTGACTGAATATAAATATTTGTGCTATTGGGTTTCAGCAAGGCCACTCTCAGTTCTCTCATAGAAATTTGTGTTGAGCGGTTGGGGTTGGTGTGAACTATAGGATGAAAAGGAGGGAGTTGGAAGAATGGGGGCAACAGGAGCCTAATGGACGGGTGACTGGGATGCAGCTATGCCCTGGCGTCTGGTCACAGCAGACTTGAAAGGCCAGGACACTGGAAGTACCATTTACGTGCATCAGTGTTCATGCTGTACCCTTGCTTCCTTTTCTCTCTCGAAAAGACGGTATGCTAATTCTTTGAAAGCTCTTAGAGATCTTCTAGTCTGAGCTCCTCTGTGGGAGATGAAAAGCATGCGTCCTCAGGGACATGAATGACTTGCTCTGTTATTCAGGCAATTGAAGGGGAGACAGGGATGCAGCCTGGCCTCGTGGCTCCCTGTGCCATCCATGCTTTTTCAACTTGCCACACTTCTGCTGTATGAAAATTTTTTCACCCCTCTGCCAGTATTCTCTTGATGTTGCTATTGAGGAATAACCAAATAGTCCAAATTGGACATCGTGTGTTCATAAGGTATCTATTCTGAATTTTATTGACTTGATGTATTGTAAATATCTTCAAGATAGGAGCAGAACTTTGGCAAACTTTAAATTGGACCATACATTTAAGAAATAGTTGAGGGAAAACTTTTGTTCATTCTCTTTCCTCCTTCAGCATTATCCTTATTGTATTATCACAGTTGGAGGTTTACTATCTGTGGGTGGAATGCTGAGGGCATACTAGATATTAAATCATTTTTATGCAAGATAATCCTCTAAGACAGTTTGCTTTCCTTACTTTCCAGATGAAGAAATTGTAGGTTGAGCATATGCTACAGGTAAGCCAGCCCAGATATGAAACCTCTCTCAAGTCCATATTCTTATTCCCTAATCTGTGCAGGCCTTCATTAGTTGAAAGTTAGGGTTAAGAAGATAAGGGATTAAGAAATCAGCAGAATTAGAAATCTTAACACAAATATGGTTTTTCTTCTGGGAAAAAAAGTAGCCTTTCAAAGTGTAGGCCTGATGGCATCCTTGAGATAGCACTAATTTGAGCAGCGTAGTACATGATTTGAAGGTTGCAATGGCTGTGTAAATTGTAGGATGTCCTAAAACTTTATGATTTTGATAGGGTGGTGGCCTCCGTTTAGTGACAGTGTGACAAATATTTTCATATGTTTGAAATCAAAGTTTTGTTTTTTTTTTTTGTCTTTTTGTCTTTTTCCGTGTCCGGCAACGGATCGCAACCCTCAGTGTTGCCCCCGTACCGGACCGGAGACCGGCAACGGGATTGCAACCCTCGGTGTTGCTCCCGCGCCTCGCTCAGCCAGTGAGCGGGAACCGGTCTGTATGTGGGATCCGAACCCTTGGGCGGGAGCACCGCCGCGCTTCCCAAGCGGCGCACTTATCCAGTGCGCCACCAGGCCGGCCCCCTGAAATCAAAGTTTTTAAAACTAAAAATAGTTATAGTTTTTGTTTGTTTGGCAGCTGACTGGAACAGGGATTCAAACCCTTGACCTTGGTGTTAGAGCATCATGCTCTAACCAAGTGAGCTAACCGGCCAGCCCAGATGTTTTTAAATGAAGAAAACAACACAAAACAAAAACAGCTCTATATATTAGGAAGAGAGTAAAGGCAAAAAAGAAAAAGTGACACCAAAGAAATTGATGGGCTTCAGATAAATGATTTGTTAATATGAAATTTTTCTTCCTAGAATAGTTCCCCCTAAACTAAATAAAAAAGATTGTGGGAAGAAAATGAAAAAACAAAATTAATGAAGTTCAGTAGCCTTTACTGTCATCCAAAGCAGAGTTCT